GATAATCCATTTATTGTTTATCGTGATCGACAATTAATTGGAAAAGAAAATTTGAAACATTTACGTCTTGTATGTGTATCAGATACTCATAATGATATTCATAAAATTCATATACCAAATGGTGATGTATTTATTCATTGCGGTGATGCTGTTAATTATAATACATGTTCCAATGATTTAAGGGTATTCAATGAATTTGTTGGTACACTTCCCCATAGACGTAAACTTTTTATTAGTGGTAATCATTGTGTTTGTCTTGATTCTAAACGACCAGATCGAAGTCAAAAATTATTGAGCAATATGATCTATTTACAAGATCAAGTCATTGATATTGAAGGTGTACGCATTTATGGTAGTCCATGGAAACCAAAACGTGGTTGTTTTTATCGAGCAGAAGCATTTAGTTATGATTCACAAGATATTCGTGGTGATAAATGGTCAAATATTCCCACTGATATTGATATTTTACTTACACATGTACCACCGTATAGTATTCGAGATTCTTATTCAGGTTGTCCAGGTTTATTAGATGAAGTTGTAACAAGAGTTCGACCACGCATTCATCTTTTTGGACATATGCATAAGTTCTATGGTGCTAGTTTATATAAAAGTGAAAATAATCAAAAAATTGAAGGTGATAAATTTAAATCCGAATCAAATGATATTCTATTTGTTAATCTTGCTATTCATCAAGGCAGAAAACTTAACGAAGCAGTCGTAATTGACTATTATTATTAGTTTTTTTTATTTTTAAAATAAATTTTTTTAAATAAAATCTTCATTCCAGCAGTGAATAATATGATATACTTTATTTTTTTTTTAATATAAATATTCATTATATTTATCTTATAACTTAAAGGTATACAAAATATTTATTTTCTTTTTTAACAAAGTGCTCATTACAATATTCTATATTTTATTTTTATAATAAATTATTCTAATTGGTTGAATAGGTGTCCATAGAAATGCAAGCCATATTATTTAACATTTGTTTCATTGAATACGACATGTACATAGACGTCATTGAAAAAGAAAACAAGGTTTACTCCCTTTAATTGAAGAAAAAGTAATCATTTTCTTTTTCATGATACTTTATGATATGTATAGTTTTTTTTGAACATTCATTATTGTGTATTATTTTTAAATATTAGCAAAAAAACAAAATTTATCATTTTGAAAATGTTCAAAGCATCAACATATCTCTGGTGTTGTTGGTAAGGTTTTTATCTGTGATTATTCTCATCAAATTTGATATAGTTTACGTAGATGTCATGTACAACGTGTTCGAGGCCATCCAGCAGCTGCTCTTCATCATTTAACACATTTTCCACCTAATGAAGTTGATGAACAAGTTCTCCCATTCAGTCCAACACGTCATTATGGTACTGGAACTGAAGATGATCCATTTACTATTTATCGTGATCCAGAATTAATTGGAAAAGACAATTTGAAACGTTTACGTTTTGTTTGTATTTCTGATACACATAATCAAATTCATAAAATTAAAATTCCAAATGGTGATGTTTTTGTACATTGTGGTGATGCTGTTCGTTGGTCAAGTGCTGCTCGTGATATATTAGTATACAATGAATTTGTTGGTGCACTTCCACATAGACACAAACTCTTTATTGGTGGTAATCATTGTGTTTGTCTTGATCCAAAACGACCTGAACAAAGTCAAAAAATACTTAGCAATATGATTTATTTACAAGATTCAATGACTGATATTGAAGGTGTACAGATTTATGGTAGTCCATGGAGACCAAAACGTGGAATTATTTATCCAGCTGAAGCATTTGGTTATGATCCGACACGTATACGAGAAGAAAAATGGTCGAATATTCCCGCTGACATCGATATTTTACTTACACATGGACCACCTTATAGTGTTCGTGACTATCATCCACTTACAGACGAACGAATAGGTGATCCCGGTTTATTAGATGAAGTTGTAACAAGAGTTCGACCACGTATTCATCTTTTTGGACATATGCATAAATGTCGAGGTGCTAGTTTGTATAAAAGTGAAAATAATCAAGTCCTTGAAGGTGATCATTTCCAACCACAATCAAATGATATTCTATTTGTTAATCTTGCGATTCATCAAGGAAAAACTCTTGGTGAACCAGTAGTTATTGATTATTATTATTAAAAAAAATATTGTAATTTTCTTTATACAAAAGATCTCATTAATTAATCAACATAGTGCATTTCATTTTATTTTTTGAACATATATTAAAGTTTTATATATGCTTTCATAATACCATCATGATTAGAATACGTAAGTTAATACATTCGAATAAATACAAAAAAAGAAAACAAGAACAAGTAAATATCACGGTGAGCTTATTATCTATAGATATAAAAAAGAACAAACAAACAAAATAGCGTCTTATTGGTGTAAAAGAGAAGCTTGTAACGCCTCACGCATCATCGTTTCTTCATCTTGTTCATAATTCACATATGTATCTAAAAAAATAAAAATTTATTTTTTAAAAAAAACTTTTTTCTTTCGAATTACCATAATCAAATCTATGACGACTTTTAATATGTTGATAGATATTAGATGATATCATATTTTTATCACCCCATGGCAGTGTTGAGCAGATTGGACTATACATAAATAAATGAAATTTAAATTTTAAAATAAATTAAAATTTACCAGACTCGACGTTGATCTTCATTTTTATGACGTTTTTTAATATGTTGACGAAGATGATTAAGAGTAAAACTAGATTCCAAAAATGAATTTTTTTTTTAAATTAAATATTAGAATTTTTACTTTGCTCGTGGACAAAATGGACATTGAAATGTTGAGCGATTTTCACCTTGTTGTGCTTTTTGTAAAGCTTTAGTTTGTGATTCAGATAAACGTTCAACTAGATTTGTAGATCTTGAATCTGTATTATGTCGTGTATAATTACTTCTCATAGGTATACATATTTCTAAATGTTTTCTTAATGCCGATAAAGTAAATACTATTGAACAATTTGGACATGATGTTTCAAATGTATCTAATTGATTTTCTAATTCACGATAACGTACATAACCCAATGATTCTTTTCGACAAATCGCACAAACAAAACATTGATTTGGTTGATGGACATGTGATGAATGACTAAAACTATCAATTCGCAAGGAAGACGTTGGTATTGATTCAGATTCTGATGTTAAAGTAATAGGTTTTTTAAGACCAAGTACACAACTTTGACAATATGTATGTGGACACGATAGACTAACAGGTGAATGAAATATTTCACGACCTAAAAATAAATTTATAATAAATTGAAGTCAAATATTTTAATTAAATTACTTACAAATACTACAAGTAAAATCTTCTAAATTGATTGTCGTTGTATCCATTAATTTGATTGTTTACAAGAAGAAATAATAAATCTAAAATCCATTAGAAAAAAATATCTATATTTTCGGTTTCACTTGATTGATTATACCAATACAAAGAAAATCATTCAGGCATTCTTTTTTTCCTGTACTCTATTTTCTTGTTTTTGTCAATGTGAAAAATATTATTCAATAAAAATAAATCTTTTCAAATAATACTATCTATAAAATATACTCATTTGATATTTTTGATTGAATATTTGTATCGCTAAAAAAAAAGAGAAAATATTTAATTATATGTATTTTCATCACTTATTTTTTTTTCTTCCTTTTTTTTAAGTAATATTGATAGATAACTCTATATAGATACTAGTACATTGGACATATAATATGGATCTAGTATCTAGAAAATGCTGGAATTTTTCCGGTGGAAAAATTGTGATAAAAATCAATATTATAAGCGAATTAAAAACAAGAAAATTAATTTGAAAACTATATAGTAGTGTTAAGAATTCATTAGTTGGAATAACATGAAAATTTTATCATAACATTTATCATTAACTATACTTATATATTGTTTATGAGATATTTTTATCTAAATAAATAGAGTTTCTATTAAAAGTAAACCTATTAACAACAAGACAAACCTTTCGATAAGTAGTTTATATATGTGGAATACAAATAAGTACGGATGCAATTAAAACACCCTACTATTGAACATAATTTATGGAATGATTTAACTATTCATTTGAGTATAGAACTACGTTCCTATTATATATATATATATATATATTTAGAAAAATAAATAAATATATAAAATCTTCATACTCCATTGCCTGTAATAGCATAAATTAAACCCCAACGAGATTATTGTACTTCATCATATTATATATGTATGGATTATATGATACAGCTGATAAAATAATTAATGAAGGATATTGGTATAGTATTCTAAATACAAAACAAGTATCTCAAAACATTCTAACTGTTGTGATATAATAACAAAGTAATGTGCGTCATAAATATTTCCCTATAAAACTACTGCTTACTTTCTTTTTTTCTTTCATCGCTGCTACGTAAATTGTCATCGATTCAGAAATTATATAAATAGATAAGACTTTTCTTCTTTTTTTAATATCTAAACAAACGTTTGTCAATGATGTTAATCTTTTTTATATTTTATTTCGTTTATATACTAACTTCAATAGTATGACAATATATTCATAAGTCTTATCTTGTCTAAATAAATATATATATATACTATATCGAGGATATATATTTCAACTGTTGCTATTATTTTTTGTCTTCTTGTTTATTATTATCATCGGAATATATCGAAAGAAAAATGACAGCCATGTATATTCATTTAGCTTTTGGACTATAGTGATGTTTTTTATGAAGAGAAAAGAAATAACTGAGCACTTAAGTAAAGAGTTTTTTTTTTCTATATGAATTTTTATTAGACTAGATGATTACTGAAAAAAAATCTAACAAAGACAAAAGATTTTTTTTTTCTTTATCTCTATATCTCTTTTTCTCTATTTAGAAATTTTGACGATAGATTATTCTTTTTACTGCTACATAAACAGGAATAAAAAGATAGATAGATATATATATATATATAAATATAAACAATTTTATATTTCTAATGACCTTCAATGAAAGCAAATGATTCGTTTGATGATAATTGGTTAATTATTCCAGTAAATTCCAATCAAAAATTAGTTAGATCATATTACTGGCCAGCATTATTTTTATTATTTTTTTCAATTATTGGTATTATTGGAAATTTATTAGTTTGTCTTGCGATTGGAACAGAACGACGTTTACATAATCCAACGAATTGGTATATTTTTTCATTAGCACTTGCTGATATGTTGATTTCAGGAATTGTTATTCCATTAGCTACTGTTAAAGAATTTACAGGTAAAAACAACAAATCTATTCTATTATTAACTAATAAAAAAAAAACAAAATTGATTGATTTAGGTTTTTGGATATTTGGTCCAATTTTATGCGATTTTTGGTTATTTTTGGATGTTTGTTCATGTACATCATCTATCATGCATATTGTTGTTATATCAATTGATCGTTATTTAGCAATAGAAGATCCACTAAATGTTCGTTTACGACAAAAAAAATATCAAATATGCTTTTGTATAATAGTTATATGGTTAATAGCTATATTATTATCATCACCAATGATTATACTTGGTGCAATTAATCCATATAATATTATAATTAATGGACAATGTTTAATCAATAATCAATTTTTTGTTATATATGGTAGTGTTGTTTCATTTGTTATTCCATTGATTATTGTTATTATTATGTATACTTTAACTGTACGTCGTTTAAAAAAAACAAATAAAACAATGTCAAACACATTTTGCTCAAGAACAAATAACGAATACAGTTAATCTTGTTGCTAAACCATTTTTACGACAAAAAACAGCAGCAACAACAAGTAATAATCAATTAAATATTTCATTTCAATCATTAACAATTCCATCAATAGAATTAAAACGTAGACGTTTTCAACGACAAGAAACAAGTTTTGATTTAAGTGAAGATAGTTTCAATAATATATGTTTAGATAAAGATAAATATCCATCATTAGCAAATGATCTTCAAAATGATAAATCATCTATTCATAGTGATTATACATGTCCACGAAATTCAAATTGTCTTGAAGATGATGAAACAACAAATCTTCATTTAACTTCATCTCATCAAGCTCGTCCAATGTCATTATCAGTACCAATGATTTCTCATCATCCATCATTAACTTCAATTAATCAAGTAAAACGACATAAAGATCGTTTAGTTCTTATTCCAAGTTTAGGAACAACACGTTCAAAATCTTCAGCTGTACGTAATGAACAAAAAGCTGTCAAAGTTCTTGGTGTTGTTTTTGTTATATTTGTAATCGCATGGTTTCCATTTTGTATTATGAATATTTTACGTGGTGTTTGTAAACATTGTTCAATTAATGAAAATTTATTAAATAGTTTTGTTTGGCTTGGTTATGTGTCAGCATCAATTAATCCAGTTGTTTATACAATGTTCAATCGAAATTTTCGTTTAAAATTTATTGCATTACTTAAATGTCATTGTTTATATTCACGTGATCAACAAAAACGATTATTATATTATCAAAGTCATTCATCATTACATGGTTCAAGAATTTTACGTAAAAATGGTTTAGTACAAAATGATATTCGACGTTTTAATGCACATAGATAAACAAGTGTAACTAAACTACCATAAATAGCTGTTTTTTTTATTTAATACAACGGAAATGGATATATAAGTGTGTCGTATAAGTACATAGAACTTAGACAAAAGTAGCGAAATCGTCTGAATAATAATAATAGAGAAATAAAAAAACAAAAAAAAAA